TGGGTGCTTGTGGCCGGGTTTCCGGCCAGCTTGTCTCCCACTTCCTTTCATTTGTCTCCCACTTCTTTTCTGCTTGTGGTCGGGTTCCCGGCCGGCTTGTCTCCCACTTCTTCTTATTTGTCTCCCACTTCTTTTCATTTGTCACCAACTTCTTTTCATTTGTCTCCCAGGCTGGGTGCTTGTGGTCGGGTTCCCGCCCTACACTTGCTTTCATTTGTCTCCCGGTTCTTTTCATTTATCTCCCAGAAATGCTTCATTTGTCTCCCGGGTCCGTCACTGCTGGTGCCATGTAGCATTTCTATTCATTTGTCTTTGTCACTGCTAATTTCCGCCCTTTTCCGCTGGCCACGCAGCATTTCTATTCATTTGTCCCCCAGGCTTGTCACTGGTGGTGTCCGCCCTTTTCCGCTGTTTCTATTCATTTGTCTCCCAGGTCTGTCACTGTTGGTGTCCGCCCTTTTCCGTTGGCCATGTAGCATTTCTATTCATTTGTCTCCCAGGTCTGTCACTGCCAGTGTTTTGTCTCCCAGGTCTGTCACTGTTGGTATCCGCCCTTTTCCGCTGGGCATGCAGCATTTCTATTAATTTGTTTCCCGGGTCTGTCACTGGTGCTGCCGCCCTTTTCCGCTGGCCATGTAGCATTTCTATTCATTTGTCTCCCATGTGATTTCTTTCTTTTTGTCTTTCAGGTTTGGTGCCTGCACTGCTGTTTTCTGCCCTGTCCGCTGGAACAGGTTCGCCTGTGAAAGGTTCTTGCTCCTTTGCAAGGGGTGCGTGACTGTCTCCGGGATTGCATTCCTGCCGCAGTGTGTAACTCTCTCAGCTTTGTTTTCCTTCTCTGGCAACCGTTGGATGAATGACCGGATTGGATTTCGGCGGTGTGGCAGCGATCTCTCTATTCAGTTGGGGCGGAGGGCATATGTCAGGCGCCAAAAATCAATTTCATGTCACATCCTTCGCTCCTCATGCTTTTGTTTCTTGTCCTCACGTGGTCAGCTCCCCGCTGACTGAGCAGCATGACCAGCATCATGTTCGCGCTTGAAGAATAATTCCCCAAAAGGTTTACTGTTAGGGCTTCTCACTTCTTTCTTAAGATGTGTCCCCCCGCTCTGTACTGCTGTGTCCGTCTCTGCCTTGCAATCCTTTACATTTATCTCCCAGCTCTGGACGTCGCAAGCTCTAGTTTCGATTTTGAAAACACAAACTGTTTGGGGTCTACGGTGGTGTAATCTCATAGAGCGCTCATTCTGTGCAATCCTTGGGGTGGGCAGAATCCAGTGGCAAGGTCCGGGTGAGGCCAGAAGGACAAGGCCAAATATATGTACCTGTCCTCAACGTCGCTTATGCTGAGAAGAGAGCGGACAACCTTCAGGAAGGCACCAGTTTACCAGGAAGCTTTGCAGCCGAGTGCTCCATGGATGCGTCTGGTTATTGGACAGCGGTGATTGTCTTCTTTGTGCTGCTGCTTCTCTTCATGTTGGCCCTAATGATCACCAGACTTTGCCTGTTGGGGTCCAGGTATCCCAATGTCTTGGTGCACCCAGATCCCCACTTGTTTGCACCGCGGATGGTGCTACAACTCTTGCTTGTTTTCTCCACTTGCTGCTCTACACTCTTCTGGTTTCACTACGCCATGACTCTGTTTTGGCTTATCATGTTCAAAGGCCAGAATGTGCCACTCTTGCTACTGCCTACAGCCTTGGGGGTGGGACAATATGAAGCTCATGATGTCATGCTGGTCATGGTCTTTTCCTTGGCAGCTCAGCCAACATGCATTAACAATCTTTGGTGAGCAGTGAGTAGTCTTCCTTTCTTTGCTTTGTGATATAAGTATAATTGTCCGGCCCATATATCCGAAACACAGTCTTGAAGCTAACACAAGGCAATCTTGACCGTGAGCATGGGTCTTTGGAAGCAACTGCGCATCTTCTTCTTCCTCGTTGATTGGGAGAAGCCCCGTGATGTGAAATCTCCAGAACCGCCACCTCTGCTTGGTCCCAATCCACCACCACCAGGGCCAGGTCAACCAGGTCCACCAACCTTGGTGGGATCACCTCTTTTGGGCTATGGTGGCACTCAGCTCCCCCAAGCTCCACAAGCCCCTCCACAGGCTCCAGGCTTCGTGGAATCGGTCCCAGTGCCGGACTCGGGGATCTCGGCCTGGCGGAGTTTGTTCGTGTGCAACGAGCTCAATGAAAGGCTCACCGCGACCCGAGCGGTGCCAGAGATCACTTGGCTTGCCATCCTGGCCTTGTTGGATGGATGTCAATGGTCCAATGCAGCCAGGTGGACAACACATGCCGATGGCCAATCGGCGATGGCGGCCGAGTTTAATCCCTTTCTGCAATTCTCACTGGGGATCAGTGTTTGGATTTTTTGTGCTGGTGTTGCAGTTTCTGTTGCAGCGCATTGGGTGCATTTTTCTGGGGCACGATTTGAATGACTTCATGGATGTGTGTTCCATTGCAAATATATCCGTATTTATTTTGGATGAGACTTGGCTGATCCCCACCAGTCCCGATCGAAATGTGGTTCGTTGTGGCAAGGGGTTTGACGTATTCATGACATACCATGCTATTTTGATTGTCCATGTCCTTCATACATAAAGTTTTAGACTTTTTGATGCATTTTAAAGACATCTTTTGACTCTTAGCCCTTTTAGTCCGTCTATCCTGTCAGCCTGTGGTTCGGCAGATCATTGTCCTTTTCGTTTTGGATTATGATTTCATGTCCACTCCGCATCACTCCGCACTGAGGAGCCTTTTCATGGATACTACATCCATGGCAAGGCACCTAGTAGCCGTGGAGACTGGGGCCACACCGAGTAGCTCGACCAGCAATGCTGAAAGATACCTGAACATGTCCGAAGCCACGCAGGTGTATGATGGTGTATGTAGCCATTGGTCATTGGTGTCACTTGTGCTAAGATGTGCGGAGTAACATTCAACTGGCTCCATGAGTGGCTGGATGTCGGGCCAGGCTTGAGCGGGTGCTGCATGACGAGGATAAAGGAATTGGCTTCAGTAGGGGCTTGAGCCCAGATGGATGTCAGACCTTTGAGATGTTCCTTCCTCCAGATACAGCTGTCCAGCTGGCCAATGGTGACATAGATGCACAAAAGCCGGACAACATAGTTTCGGATGACTGCAGCAGTAGCATGAACATGTTATTCGGAAAGACTCAAGCTTGATTGTGTGAATGAAGTAGAATGACCGCATGCAACTTTGGCCCCTAACTTCGTACATGGTCCATTCCTTCAGACACTTAGAATCATAGGCATTGTGTTTGGCAAGCAGGGGTTGCTGGGCTGGGTGTTTGTTGATTGCAATTCCACCTCCTCAGGTGATGTGGCACACTTCCGCCAGCAGCTTGGTCAAGTCTTCATGGATGTACAAATGACACAGGCCGGCATTAGACAAGGTTCAACAGCGTGCATCACGACCGGACTTGTTTTTTCTTGCACCAATTGCTTTGCCCCAGAAAGCACACATGGAAAGCCACTTGCAAAATGATGCCAAATGATTCATTATGTTGCAGGTAAGACCGCGAAAAAGACCGGATGATTTGTAAAACCATATAAGTAAGGGCATATGCATTTACAAGGATTTACAGACACAGCTGTATACGGTACCTGTGTGCTATGTCAATGCGTTTTTTCCTTCGCACTCGCACTGACTTTGACGTCAGGACACCATCGCCCGGCGCGATCCACCAAAGCCCATCAGCCAAGATGTGGCGCAGATGTCACAGCACAGGTGCAATGTCCAGGCCTTGGTGGATGCAATGGTGAACGCCGTGATGAGAGGCACAGGGTCTTGCCCAGAAGTTTGTTCCAAGTGGGGTCAGAAGTCTTGAGTGAGAATCAGAGAGTTGTGGATTTTCAGGATTTGGACCTTCACGGTCGCAGTGAGCTGAGGCGCCAACGAAGTGCTGCAGATGCGGAGCTCCTTCAGCTGGTTTTGGGGTACTGCGCCCAACGTGCTCACCTTGCAGCACCCGATCTTCTACAAGGCCATGCGAAAGGTCACCTCTAGCGAGGTACTTGTAGAAGAAAGAGGTGCTGGAGGTAGTTTCTGGAGGTGTAGGCCGTGCGAAATGTCATTTGGAGGTGATGTGTTTTGGCTGGTGCATGCCGGTGCAATGTTTACGAGTAGCTGGTCCGCTCAGATAGAAGGGCTACTCGGTTGGGTGTGCGCCAGGATCAAGATGGCATCTCTTTCCCCAATGGGCTTGGATGGTCCTCTTCCTTGGCTTACGGGGCCGAGTTGCGCATTGCTGGCATTGGTGCCTCGACTGCAGTTGCAGAAATCCAAGTTGCCAGGATTGATCCGGTTGATCTCGTTTTCTTTTTATTAATCTTCTTTTGAATTACTTATATAATGGCAATGGCCTCCAACCAATTAGGGTCTCCAACCTTCTAGCGTGTGTTTTCTTTCGATACTTTGATCAAACCACCAACATCCACCAACCATGGCAACAGTTTCTCTTCGGTCCTTCCAAGTTGCGGAGTTTGGGAGCATGTGAGTTTCTCCAAGGTATTCCACTTGGCTTTGAATGGCACTTGGGACTTTTGGAGCTCATGACCTTCTCGCTCATGTGGCGCTTTCAAGGCTCAATTGGCTTGGCCTGTGCCTTAGCCTACTTGGTGAATCGCTCCGTACTCTATGTCTATGGTGCTTGGGGAAAGGCACGCTTGGCACATACGGCCATCATCAACGGCATGTTCTTAATTTGAAGGCCACAAGAGCCACATGCAACATATGCAATGCGGACTCGTTGGGGCTGCGTGAATGGGAATCGGCCTTGTACAGCACGCCATGTGGTACGACAAGTGGCTACAGATGTGTAGCGATTTGCTGTGCTGCTGTGAGCATCTCGGGCAAAAACCTGTTACTGTTGGGCTGCAAATTTGACCTGAGATCAATCACTCTGACTAACAACAGTGCCGTAGCTAAGTTAGTGTATGACTGCGTGCTTGATGCCGGAGTCTCTTTGTCCAGGCGGTGAAGATGGTTGTGAAGGATGCCACAATGGACCTGCATGGCTCTATGCAACAGCAGGACCTGCCTACTTTGAGTAGAACCGTCGTTTCACCAAAGACGATTGCATCTCCCGGTGTCTTGCCATAGGAAGGTGCGCTGAAGTCACAGCAGCCGGCGCCTCAATCGTGCCTTTGTGCTGCGTTTTGTTTGTGCACTGTATGTGCCCAGGCGGATGTTTGAGGTGGAACTGCAAAAGATGCAGGAGAAGATGGACAACATGCGGCAGGATATGGGAAAGCTTCTTGAAGGAGAATTGGCCTAGGCTGAGTCCCCATCCTAATTTGGCTTTGAGTCACTGAGTCACTGTAAGTTGAAGTGGATCGAATGTGGAATATGTATCTATCTGCCATTGCGGCAATGTTTCATGGCAGGCTGCATGCACTCTATTCTCACATATTGAAATTTACCACAAGGTTGCAGACGAGCCCGCCGGAAGTCATTGCAGGGATTCTCAGAGGATAGAGCCAGCAGTTGCGGTTTTTTTGCTTTTTCGATCTTCCATGAGACGTACCCTCCTTCATCACATATAATCAAACTGCCGGCTTTGCATTCTGGAATGCCATTCTGAGTTCAAACCCATCTACTTTTGTGATCTTTTGTGTCACCTTTCGCGGCTGTGGCCATGGGGCGATTGCAACGCAATTGCCACTGCTTTAGGAGCTACCCTATCTTGCACGTGCCGTGCTCGTCTCTCAGGCCCGGCTGTTGCTTTGACCCCGGCAGAGGTGTGTGATGGAGGACCTACTGCTCGCCGCTTTTCCTTGGCTGTCACCACATTTCACGCGGACAGCTGGAGCCACGAATCCCAACTCCCAGTCAGTGGGTGCTGTGCATCACAGCCGCTATCGGGTATTGATGGCCATGAATTGCATCGTGTGCGCTGTTTCCGGGCCGCACAGAGCTGACTAGATTCATACTTCGCTTACAGAAGAACAAGTAGAAGAACTGTCTTTGGCGTTCTGGATTCGTCTGGTTTCAGAACAACCAAAAGACTTTGTGGGAGTTCTGTGTTCGGTTCATGGTTGAGTTCTAGGACACGTGATTTCCGGGTGAAAATAGACCCAAGCGATTTTCAGCGTCCATGGCTGTTGTGCAATCACCCGGGCGAAAAGCAAATAGCTCCCTCAATATGCTGAAAGAGGAACCTGCAGGCAAAAAATTGCCAAAAAAACACTGGCTCGGAAGACCAGGTGCTCAATTGTTTGCTTCTGACGCTTTCGGGCAGTTTCGTCGTTTGTGCTGGAGAGCTTTGTGGGCAGTGGCTATGCCATGTACAAGTTGCTTTGTGCTCCTGTGCGCTTGCCGCTAATGGCCTCATGTCATTCCAACTATGAGGCTGATTGTTGCAACATGGTGTGGGTAGGCTGACCACTTAGATCTACTTCGGGCAACTTCCCACACACTAGTAGGCTCGGAACAGCGCAAGCATGGGCCACCTCGTCACCTTGGAAACTCGTCACCTTTGGCCGGCCTAAACTCAGCCCTCCCCAAGGATTTGTCCTATGGTTCCTGGCTGTACTATTCGTGGATGAGGTACCATGGCCGAGCTTGCGGCGAGATGTCTCCTAGGTATGACATCCACAACTGGATTGATTCGATTACCGTCTTGCTGGGTCACTGGCATTGGTTTGGCCACTAGTCCTGGTGATGCGCAACTCAGTCCTGGCAACCTTCCTCAACGCAGTGCGGCCGGCAAGCTCAACCACCCAGGTCGCAGAGGTGGTTGGAGCGCAGTTTGGGAATGAAGCCTGATGGCCGATGGCCTAATGACGAGATTCTGAGAGGCTAAGGAGAGGCTAAGCTTGATGAGAGATGCTACATGATGCTATGTAGAAATGCCTGGATGAATGTAGCTGGCTTGAAGCGTGCTTTACTCGAGGATCTCGGAGCTCCTTAGGACACAACATAACTTTGCGGTCTCGGCATGTTTCAGATGTGAGTCCCAAGCTGAAGGCTTCATGATAATCATGCCGTACCACGGGCTCGGTGCTGCAAGACACAGAGATGACATCGACGATGTCTCATTGTACTCTGAGCCTAATAAGCCAATATCCTGCCATATCCTGCCGCTGCCCTCTCCCCTGACAACCTTATGCGACTCTGTTCGCGAGCTGGCTGGCGAACAAATTGATGGACTGGAGATTACAGTAAACAGTAAACCAATCTTTGCTAGCATGCATAGTGAGATAAAGCAGCGGTTGAATGCATGTGGAACCAATGCAACAACACCTTTGTCCAGGTCTCGCCCCGTGACGAAGGCGTGTCGGACAAGTTGTGTGGGGTGGAAATTGGAGAATACATGAGAAATTGGAGAAGTCCCGCCCTATTGTCTCTATCCGTGTCCTGTTCCAGGACCTTCCGTCGACCTCAGTGGTTTGGAAAAGCACATGGAGAAGAGCATGATGACCTTGAGGAACGACCTGGATGATAGGAGCCTTGGCAGCAGCAACATATCATAACATATCTATATACATTACACATATTATATAGTATACGTATATAGTTTATATACATATGACTGTGACTGTATATAACTGTTTCTATGCTTCTACTTGGTTGATGTGTCACTCATTGGCTGAAGACCTCTTGCTTGAAGAGAGGGCTGTTTGGATGAGGATGTCGAAGATGTTCGATGAGAACCGGCCCTTTCCCTAGCTGAATTGGCGGTTTTTATGTTCACAGTGTTTGTCAAGGGAGTTCAACCGATTTGTTTTGTTCTTCTTTAAGCCCGCGTTCGCTGCTACTGCTGCTGCCTCTCAAGCTACTTTTTGCTGGGGTTGCTTCGAACTAGAAAGCCCTTGATGGCGTAGGATGTGTTTCTTGCTTTTGCAAGAGAGACGCTAATGCACCCTCCTAGAAAAGTAGATCCAACTTTACTTAAAGACGTTTGCAGTTCCACATGGATGGACGCTGCAGAATGGATTCTAGCGTCAATCAGTCAATAGCGTAGAACCTGTCTGATTAAGTCAACAGATGTTAGACAGGTCCAGGTGGAAAAGTGCGTTTGCTTCGTTTGGGGAGGCTTTTGACCCCAGCCTAGCCAGTGGTTTTGGACTCTAGTTCTTTGCAGTTTCTGAGTCTGCAGCTCAAAGCTTCTACAGTTGACAGCTGGAGTTTGGGCCAATTGGGGGAAGATGCTTCAATGTTGTGAGTTCAAAGGTGTTCAAAGTTGCCATATTTGGAAGTACGCACTCTTGCCCCCGAAAGCAAGAGTTGGCAGTTGATGAACCTGGGGGTTCGATACAGGCAGCAACTGAATGAGCTGGCGAAGGCTGCAGCCTCCAAGCCACCAGAGAAGGCCACCAAAGCGGTTCGAATTGGAGAGGGCTTTTTGCCGTGCATCTGCATCTGTATATAGCTTACGCATCTGTGCAATTGGGCATCCATCCAACATAGTGACGTATGACACAAAGACGGAAGTGCGATATTGCTGACATGGTCCACTCACCGGATCTGAGACGCAGATATGCCTTCGATACCAAAACAGAACATGCCTCTCAGATGACTTTGCTTCGATACAAGGCAGTCTTATGCCTGGAACATATAGTTAGACAGGCAGAGACACTTGCAAAGGATACTAAAGGTACAAACGTTGACATGTTCCTAGAAGCAAGAGCATGCTCGCACGCGCGACATGCACTGCAGGACAGCGACGATGCCCGGGAGTTTGCCGGAGCAGTGGAAAGGCAAATCCAGCAATTGCGGCAGCAATTGAGTGTTTGGGACCCAGGCAGTTCAAGCTTTTGTATGGATCCTTTGTTAGCTATGACCATGAATGTTTAGTGAAGTATACCAAGCAGTGGAACACCACAGTCTCCTGGGTGCCTAGGATGTTCAAAAGCAGCTGGCCGAAGAGGCGAGATCCGTTTTCTGAAGGGCAGATGGCAGATTTTTGGATAGGTTTTACGGTGAAGAAAGCCGCGACGAGTAGCCCTTCAGCAGGTGAATGAGCACGTAAGGTCCAACAGGCCCACCAATAAATTGCTCCAGGCTTGAGCCAGTAAGAGGCAATATCCATGGTGGGGCAGGACCAGACACTTTTTGCTGAACAGAAAGGGAGTTCACCTCCTTAATGGAAAGATTAAAAGCTGGCTTTCTTCTTTTTTCAATCTTCAGCCCAAAGTCGAATTGCAGGTTAAAGCAGTGGTGGCCACTTCCAAAGAGACACCTGACAAGCCAGTTGCAGAACAGGCGCTCAGAATATGTTCCCGCCACATCAACGTGATGTCAGTTCTATGAATTTGCACGCGGCAAGGAACGAATGAGGTGTGAAATTTGGTAGTGCCATATTTGCAGGGTGTATGGCAATCACCCCAGGGTTCTTCTCAGTCTGGCACAAGCATGAAAACTATTGAATATGATTCAGGAGCCTGCATAAGGTGTTGATCCGCGTGCACGAAAAGTATTGACGATCCAAATTAGCCCTACCAGGCTCCTGTGGCTCCAACTCCAGCACCGCAGCCGCAGCCTGCGCAGCCGGCCGTGCCGGTGACACCTGAAGCGCCACCTGTCCAGACGGAGCCCCTGGCGCCGAAGGAGCCCAAAGCACCACCGAAGGCGCCAGTGCAGGCCGAGAATGTGTGTGTATATACATACACACACAGATATATTATTTGTAATGCAGAATATATATATATATGTGCACACAGATACAAACATGTATATATATATATACATACACGTTTTTGACGTGATTTCGATTTCGATCAACATAGGAAAAGGGAAGGTAAGGTGACGTGAAGAGACGCACTGAAATCGTGATGAAGGCATTTCATGTTATGAAACGGCTCACTTCAGGTGGAAGACGCAGAAGAAGAGACTCCACCTCCGCGATTTCAACCGCCGCAGCCCATTGAGATTGATGAGGAACCTCAGGCCTGCAATTCACAGAGAGAGAGAGAGAGAGAGAGACATGGCTTTGAGTAGTGACTGCTGGTGGTGAGAGACATGGCTTTGAACCTGTGCCACGGGCCCCGTGGACTCCAGGTGCCCGCAGAGCTTGGCTTTGATTGGTCCAAAGTGCCTGGCCCCGCATCTCCCAGCTTCCAGAAAGCCTGGAAAGAGGGCATTGCCAAGTGCAGCAACTTGGACAAACAAATCCAAATGGCGAAACAGGGCCACACAGAATCACCGATTCCAGTAGTTGAACCCACGAACAATTTGGTGATAGATCTTCGGGTGTCCTGTTGTCGAAGACTCTAGTAGATTGAGGACCCAGCGGGGTTTGCCCTGGAAATTTTGGCTGCTTGAGGCGGATGCGAACGACAACACATGCATTGGTTATGCATTGGTTGCATCAGTTTTGTACGTCTGAGGCACCGACACCGAGAAACTGCTGTTCATGATCTCCATGACGGGTGAGCGGACGCGCCCACGCAAGCCCAAAGATGGCCTGCGGGAGTTGGATGTGACCTGGGGCGGCCAGTTGTCGCCCAAGGATGCCAAACGAGCCCAGGAGCCACGCTTGCCTGAGCCGAAGGACCGCGTTTTCACCGGAGGTCAACTGAGGTCTGATGTTACCTGATGTCACTTCTTTTGTTAAAGTGGGGCCTCGCTTTGGAAGATGTTGGCATCATTTTGCTGCCATTTCATGTCCACTCTGTTGCTTTTGCCTTTCTCGTAGAGAACATGAGCGTTTGGTCATCCTTTGTCCTGTCAAGGAGGAAGCGAAGGACGTGAAAGTGGAGCAGCCAGTGCCAAAAGCAAATGACCCAAAGAAGCCGGCAGAGAAGCGTGAAACCATCCTCACTAGGCGTGCTTTTGCCAGTGGCTTCACTGGCTTTCTGCAGCGATGTCGACCAGACTTGTTGGAAGCTCCCGAGAGTGTGGGCCAAGTCAGTCAACCCAAATCACTCAGCGCTTTGGTCGAGGCAGCCACAGCATCGCAAGCCCTTTCAACTCTTTCACCACCACTCCCTCCACCTCAGGGGCCGCCACAGTCGGGGCCAGCTGCCTCCAGTGTGGCATTTGCACCAGAGGCCAAGAAGCTTCTAGAGCCAAAGGCGATGCCACCTGACCCTGTGACGCAAGTGCTGCAACCAAAGACGTTTGCAGCGACATCTCTACCTCTTGGGGCGATCCCACCGAAGGCCACGCCAGCACCTGCGGTGCCTGCGGTTTCTGCGGTGCCGCCCGCCAAGCCGCCCATGGCTTCACCTCCGCCGGCGACACCGCCCGCAACCCCCTTGACTCCGGCGGCACCCGCTTCGCCACCGGCCCCGCTCAAAGCAGCGGCTTTGGCCAAGAGTCCCGAGCTGAAAGCTTAGTCAACTGGGTGGGATGAGTGACAAGATTTTCGGTGAAATTGGATGCAAAGTGAACAAAACCATCAACACACATGTCTCTCAGGTTAGCTTCACCATTGAGCACGCCTCAATCCTTGAGTCCCACACCACTGCCCTCACTGAGCTCGACTCCTTTGAAGATGGCACCACCAGCGCCCCCGCCTGCGCCCAGTGTGCCGCCGCCAAAGGCACCAAAGGCACCACTTGGCGCACCACCAGGGGCACCGCCTGGTGTGCCTGGCGCGCCGGTAATGCCACCGACACCAGAGAAGCTCGAGAGGCACCTGTGCTAGCCGACACTGTGTTGACTGATGGTAATTAATGGAAGTGCTCATCCAAAACCAAAAGCATTTGATGTCAGGCGACAGTTTCAACTGCTTTTGCATGACCTGCTTGCAAGACATGCTTCCCCGCTATATGTATTTTAGTATGTATATGCGCACACTGTGAACCAGCAAGCTGCTTCTAGTTCAACTCACACGTTTGTGTGGCAGATGTCCATTGCCCACTAAACTTGCTGAGAGGCCTGTAGCCAAGTGACAGCCTCAGCGCATCAATTGTTTTTGTGATTTTGAGACTTGCCTTAACCAATGCAGCCGGACATTGTGCTACTGTGAGAGCAGGCATCCAGGCATCTTGCCCATTGCTTTTTAGAACCTCTTTGGAAGCTTTAGAACCTCAAACTGTGTGCAAACGAACACAAGTCAATAGCAGTTGGACTGACTTCGGACTGAGTTGAGAAGCGTTGGGGAGGTGAAGAGCTTTGCAGCCGTTTTGATCAAAGCCCGAAAGCCCTCACAGTTCTCGCAGATCGGCAGAAATGGCACCTCCAGGGGCTAAGAAGCGAGTCTTGCTCATCGGCGACTGGGTCTTCAATGAGATCAAGGGCGGAAAGAGGGCGGGCTTAACGGCTTAACATTGGTTATCAAGTAGTGTCATTGAGCATGAGTCAAGCCTTCATGGCACCGGAGATTTGAAGCTAAGTGACCTTAGTGACCTTTGTTGTCAGCAATCTGGGGCACAGATCGGTTGGGCAAGTCCTTAAAGATGCAAACTAGGGCTGTTTTGTGTCGTCCTTCTGGGGGACGACAGATCTCGGTGTTAAGAGTTTTCAGACTTCTTCGGATACCAATCGCTTCGAGTAGAGCTTGAGGCGGCCAGTTCACCGGCAACTTCTGCGCCCGCGAGCTCAAGAAGCAGTTCTACGTGACTGTGGTTGATGCAAAGGAGTAACAGTGCTTTGATGTATGTTTGTGCCACCTAATCAATCCGTGCTGACTTGTGCAGTGCATTACCCAAAAAAACTGTTTAACATTCACAGGAGTACTTTGAGTACACGCCTGGTGTCCTGCGAGCTTTCGTGCGGCCCGCGCACTTGGACTCTTTGACATTTACTTTGCAGCTTGGCCGGGTGTTCTGTGCGTTACTGTTTCTTTTTTGATTCTTTTGATTGAGTGTGGGAAGCCCTTTGATCCAGGTGTTTGAAACTGAGCCACAGTCAAAATCATAGCGTTAAGGTTTTGTATAAAATTGATAATTTTTGGTGAGATCTTGCAGAGTCTTGCACATTCCTTGGAACACGAAGCCGGAAAACCGAAAACGAAGCCTCTTGGTGGGATGCTTGCATCTGTATCTTTTGGAGTGCATGAAATGTGGTGTCTCAAAACGAAGCCACAACAA